AAATATCTTGTTTCAGTCTTTTTCTAAGCAGTTCATGGTGATTAACTTTAACATTTTCATTACTTTCATTGTCTGTTTTGCTGCTACTCATTGAAGCTTTTTCATGTTTTTTCTCTTTTTCCTGAGTCAATATTGCTTCTTTTATTTCATCACATTTTTTATATTCAATCAAATGCAGGCCTTTGTAACGTGGATCTAAAAAATTTGCAAAACAATTAATCAACTGCTCAGCACCGTTAAGAGGATATCGTTCCTGAAGTTCACAAATCAGCATTTTTATAAATGTTCTTGTTGGCTTATGTTTGTGATGTTGATGGGAAAGAAGCTCTTGGTGCAAGGAATATAATTCAGGTATCACATCTTGGATTGTTGGTCTTTTATCAGCTGATAAAGTTACTGAAATGTTGTATATTTTTTCAAGAAATGGAATGCTGTATTCTAATGTCTTCCATTGATCATCTGAGGGACATGACCTTTCAAACTCATCATTGGTTTTTGCAAGTGTTTTGATTGCATCTTTGACTTCAAGGACTGACTTAATGCACATGTTATCAGAATTCCATCGAGTTGTACATGGAACAATCAATTTCCTGGGCTTAATTCCAAGTTCTTCACAAGCATCTTGAAGCTTGGTCGTAGAGAGAGCACTTCTATGTGTGTGTGATGCTAAATCTGTACAGTTTTTTATTGCTTTAGAAAGTTCAATTGAATTTTTGATTGCTTTTAAAATAACTAGCTGGATTGTGTGATCATTGCAGCGCAATTCAGAATTAATTTCATTACTTTCTTTAGCAGCTAAAACAATGTTGCTCCCATTGTCATTAACGCAGGCTTGATGGACTTCTTCATTTAAGTTTAAATTAGCAATAAAAGCGTCCAGGTTTACTGCAATTGCAACCCCAGTGTGTCTACCAGTAAATGGTGTGCAAGCAATGAGAAAACTTACTAAACTAAAGTCTGAACTAATGTAGTGAATTGTAAGACTCATGTAAGAATCATTGTTCCAACTTGTCCAGAGATCTGTTGTAAAACTAACTCCAGTTACTTCTGGAAAGTCTTTGAGAAATTTTATTTGCAAACCCTCCTTTACTTTTTCATACAACATAGGAAGCTTTTGACGTCTAAATGTTGATGCAGATTTGACAGTAAACTTGCTATTTACTTCATCAATAAACTCTTGTGCTCCTTCATTGTCTAAAATTTCAAAAGGTAGACCAAGCTTGCAAATAAATTTTGTTAAATCTAGGTCAAACTTTAATTGCTTTGGATCATTTAACCCATATTTTTGGTTTTTTATAATGCAACTTTCAATTGTAGTTGTTTTTGTCTCCTTTTCTTTAAATTTTTGTTTATTAAGTATCTCTGTAGTTTTCAAAAGATGTTCTTTCCAAGATGCTTCATGTTTAGTTTTGACGTGGCTGGTTATTGTTGAAGTACTGCCACAGTTGATTTTGTAAGATTTAAAGCAAATTTTACATTTGGCTTCAAATTTACTTGACTTTTCAAAAAATTTCCAAATATCACTTTCTTTCGGCATCTTTAATGCAAATAAAATAAAAATGATTAGTAAGACAACCAAATCGTATAATAAACATAAACATAGTTCAATATAAATAAGTTTAACTAATAATTTTTCAAAATCCTTAAAATGTATTTTAATTATTTTTTAGAACATTATTAGTTACAATGCAAATATTAAACTATTTTACGCCTTGCATGCTCCTAAAGGCATTAATAATATTTAAACAACAAATTATTTTGATTATATCAGTTTTATTATTTATACAATGAAAACAGTTTAGAAAACGAGGTTTCCAAAATAATAATATTATAAGATAAATATTATAAACAATATTAGAAATTTAAATAAGATTAAAAAAATACATCTTTTTAGAAAAAGCTTATACTACACGATATTGATATCCAACCCTTAAAAAATCTTACTCCATCATGGTCCGCAACATTTGTTCTAATTTCACGGCAAGCTATTTTATTATGTTTATTTTTCATTGTTCCCTTTTTAACTTTGCTTTTCTGCGGTTTGAAATTTCTTAAATTAAATAACAATTATATTTTATTTAAAAATTTGATGTCAAATAATGTTTTTGAAATTTTAAAATTTTAAATCGGTTTTTAAAAGTTTTTTCAGTTACGGTTCGGTTTTTATTTTAATTTAAATAATTAGATCGGTTCGGTTCGATTCGGTTTTTTTGTTTCGGTTTTCACCGAAAGAACGGTTCGGTTCGGTTAACCGCACGGCCTTACCAATCAACGGTCGATTAAGTAAGCCACTAAATATAAAGTCTCTTGTCATAAAAATTAAGTATTCTGTCTAAAACATATTTATCTATGAAATATGTTTACATATAAGTTTTGCTGATGGGTTTATTCAATGTTGTAATTTTTTAATTTAGGACTTGTAAACACAGTATATTAAAGTTTTAAAAATGAGAGCCCTTAAGATGAGCAAAGAAACCATGAGCCAACACACTCAAGAGTTCTTAGACAAGGCCAATGTTTTGTTTCCTATATACAAGGAAGACATTTTCAAGTTAATTAGCCAGGATTCTAGAAGAAGTAAGAAGGCTGTAAAAGAGAATTCTATTTTTTTGAAGAGATGTTTGAAAGGAGACATGGTCAAGATGTCCTACAAAGAAACCATGAGCCAACACACTCAAGAGTTCTTAGACAAGGCCAATGTTTTGTTTCCTATATACAAGAAAGACATTTTCAAGTTAATTAGCCAGGATTCTAGAAGAAGTAAGAAGGCTGTAAATAAGAATTCTATTTTTTTGAAGAGATGTTTGAAAGGGGACATGGTCAAGATGTCCTACAAAAATGACAAAACATTTGCTGAAATAGTTTCTGAAGGTGAGGAAAGGATGAAAAATCTGACGAAGATGATAGAAGAAGAGCGACTGGAGGAGAGACTGAGAGCAAATGTTGAGCAAAAAAAAGAAAGCCAATTACTGGAAAAAGCAGCAGAAGAAGCTTTGAGAAATTTTGAGCAGGAATTCTCCAGTGGATGTAGTGGAACAGATTATGATTTACACTTTGAGTCTCGTACTGCAAAGAAAAAAAAGCTATATGATTCGACAAAGATTTGCCTTCAACTCAGTCTGAATGATGTTTTAGATAAGTGGATTCCATTTATGACAAGGTAAATAAGTTTATGGATAAAAAAGTAAAGTATATTACATATATGTATATAAAACTTCAAGGTAAAACAACTTGAATTTTACATAATTTTGTTTATTTTTAGATATTAAGTTAGCGTAAGAGCTGAATTAGCAATGTTGTCTTCACTATTCCAAGCTGGGGGAGTAGATATTGACATGTTAAACATTAAGTCACAGATGGCAAGAAAAAACCATGAACTTACAGAGAACGAAGCACTTATTGTAAGAGAGCAGAACCTGGATAAGATTAGGGGTTTAAAACTTGTTCTTCACTTTGACACAAAGTTGGTTAAATAATATAGGACGAAGGTCAAGATTTCAGAAACAGTAGAAAGGTTGGCAATTAGTGTTTCATCTCCAGAGTGGGGTTCACTTGACTTTCTTCTGGGAGTACTTGAAGCACCCTCCTCCAAAGAGAAAGATCAAGCACTGGCTATCCAAAGCCTTGTTGAATATTATTACTTAACAGACCAGATCATAGCTTATTGTACTGACAAAACTCGCTCGAACACTAGAAAGCGTAATGGTGCAATTAGAAACATCGCTGTTTATTCTCTACCTTGTCCAATTCTTTAGCTAATGTGCAGGTATGATGTTTTACTTACAAAATATTTTTTTTCTTTTTCTTTTTTCTGAGAGTAATGACAGAAAATGACAGAAAAATTTTAAATTTAAGCACCATATCATGGAACGACATGTTCATTATGTTATGGTGGAACTACTCCTCAGCTCAGGCTCCATCCATTGATCTTAGAGCATTCAAGATTTCATCACAGATTATGATAGATCCACTTTACTCCAAAAAGTGCAGAAAGATTGGCAAAGCTCTTAATCTTAGTATTCTCAGACACACTTGGTATTTTACACCACAGTGTGTTATCTTTGCTTTAGCTGACCAGCGCTTAGAAGAGAAACAGAGGATGGATATTCTTGTGGAATTGTTAAAATATGATGTTCCAGAGGTGAACATCTTTAACAAAGAACAACCAGAACCTTTTACACAAGTTTGCCCGCTCTCAAAACTATCAGACTTTGTTTCTAGGAGTCTTACCTCTTTTTTCTCCATCTTGGTATAACCAAAGATGACATTCTTGCATGGAAAGAAAAAGGCATGCCAAATTTGGAGAAAATCTCAACAATAGATCTTTTAAGACATTTGTGTCCAGTGTACGTCAGTAAGCAGTTGTTAATGACAGGGCTGTCATTAACAACTGCTTTAAAAGCTTTTTCTAACAAAAGTTTAATAATTTTTGCACCAATTTTTTTTTTTTATTCCATAGTATTTTATTTTAAAAAACATTTCAAAACAATGCAATTTTAATAAAGAATAAATTAGTTATGCATTTTTTTCAAAGTTGCAGTAACTATAGCAGTCAGAATTAATGCAATGGATGATTAATATAAAGTTAACTTGATTATTTTATAAAAATATTGAATACTACCAAAGTTTTAAATAAAAAATGCAAAAAAATCTCATTAAAATTATGAGGGCAACCAACCATTGTTCATTTTTACTGAAAAAATGAACAATGGTTTGTCCTCATCTAGCAGGTCTCAAAAATGGTCTGAGGGGCGGCGATGTCCGGCACTTATTTCGACCCCTGTATATATATATATATATATATATATATATATATATATATATATATATATATATATATATATAAATTTTAAAAATATTTAAATAAATGACTAAAAGAAAAAAGAATTAAAGATTGAAACTAAAAATATTAACAAATGGACATATTGTCAAATATTTATCAACAAAGAGCATTTAATTTTTATATTAAAATAACAAAATATAAAATATTAAAAAATCACCTTAATTTTTTCATTAACAAATAAATAAATCCAATTAAAAACTGTACATATCATTTCACTCTTGCTTCTTGCATCTAAATGTGATGGACGACTGTCTAGGAACTCAAACCAGCAATCGTCAACATGGCATATATCTGCTCCATTGATAAGTGCATCTAATAAATTCTTTAATCTTTTTACTTTTTTGTTTTTAACAGAATCCAACAAAATTAAAGACCATTGATCTAGGTACAAGCTACTTTCGTTGTTAATAGTATTTGCAGACATAAAAATATGCGAACCTAAAATTATTCAATAAATTACATATCAACTCAGAAATATTTTTATGTATACAGCTAAAATAGACTATGCTAAGTTGAAGCAAAATCTAGTCTAAAACCAGGGTGATCATACGTCCTCTTTTTCTGTTGGAGAGTTTAAACTATATTACAGTCAATCATACTAAATTTTTATACTTATTCACATCAGCAAACGTCAAAATTAAGAACTAAATGTAATTGACAACTAGGAACAAAAGCATATTTTAGCGCACGCACATTCATAAAAAGAGGACATCTGGTAACCCTATATTTATCTATTTTATATATACTTTATATTTTATCTACTAAAAAATATATATATCAAAATTTGGCAACATTATTTTTATTTACCTAATTCCAGATAATTTTTTTGGAAAAAAATCATCTGGAATTAGGTAAAAAATTGAAGATTAATGAATACAGAAACAGTAAAAGAATAATCCTTTGATAAATGACGAGAATGAGTTTTAGTTGATGGAACTAGATAATAGCTCCTTTGAGCAGCAATTACAGTAGTATTTGTAGAAAAGAGAAAGAGATGCAACTTTACAACTATGGGAAAGAGGCTCAAGCTTAGCAGATAGACTGGGTCTAATCTAGGTAGTTAACGTACTTTTTAATCACTTGTAACATGTTTTTTAATATTTTTGTGTATTTTTTCATCATTTTAATGTATTTTTTTACTTTTTCCTATTCATTTACTTTATAATATCAACATTTATATATTTTTTGGTTTTTTATCTTATTTAATCCCAAAAAGGTTGAAAGCAACCTCTTTTTAAATTAGGAGTTACCAGAAATTAAAGAATACTGTTAAAGAGCAAAAAACAGCAAAAAAGAGAAGACTTAAAAAATTGTAAATTGTATGAATCTGGTTCCAATAAAAAGGTAATTAATAAAGTAAACAATAGCTATAGGGTATAGCTCCCAAAAAAAAAGGCCAGGACAGCTTGCCAAATAGAGCAGGTTTAACTACATTTACAAAATATTCATGGTAGAGATAAGACATCATTAAGAAGAACTACCTGAAAGAGAGTCTTAAAGAAACTGAGCACAAGATAGTGTCAGTAATAAGGAAAAAAAATGAGTGATGAGGGAATAATATCAGTGGTATTTTTCCACTGCTGTTAATTAAATTTTTTCTGAGAATATTTTCAATTTTATCATTTTTTTTTTTCTTTACATGAAATCTCACATTTTAGGGGAACTTTTTTGAGTTATAAATATTAATGATTTTATACCGAATATATATGTAATATATTATATTGGTCTATCCTTGAAACAGCACCTATATATAATAATATTTCCAAAAAATGTATATTATGCCTACAAGTAAAATTTAAAAATAATTAAACATGGGAACCAAGAATGTTTATTATAGATAAAATTGGAATCGATTTCTAAATGCAGAAATGAAAATAAGTTTCTCCTAAAAAAAACCTATAAACATATATAAGCTAAAAAAATAATTATGTTAAACCCGCCGCCCCTACCTTTAAAAAGTATATTTAAAAAAAAAAGTAAAAGTAAACAACTCTAAAGAATTCTTTTTATCACAGTTTCAGCATATTCCACTATTTTATAATGACTGGTTCACACATTATGTAATGATATATTGTCTAGACTAAACTGGCTATCTGTAAAAAAAATATATTTAAATGAAAGTATTTACATTTTTACACAATATTATTCAAATACAGAAAATGAATGTCTTTCAAGGCTTTTGTATAAATAACCATAAAGTACAGATTATTTTACAAGAAATGCAAATAATTATCACTTAAAAATCCAGAACAAAAAAAGCAGACAATAGCCTTTCTTTTGCTATGGGATAAAGTTGTACAACAAATTACCAATTAAATTTAAATCGCTAGACAGGAAAGAAGCTTTTAAAAGAAAAAGGATGTTTTTAAAAATAATATGAAGTGCTACGTACTACTTTTTACAATGAATTTAAATAGCTGTAAACAGGCTAATCATAGTAATAATAATAATAATAATAATAATAATAATAATAATAATAATAATAATAATAATAATAATAATAATAATAATAATAATAATAACAATAATAACAATAATGTCTTAAAATTTACAGTAGTTAAAGTATTTGACTTTCTGTATTTAATTTTTGGTATGAATTGAAGTTTTATTACTTGGATCATTTATTTCTGATAAGTCTTTATTGATGAAATACAAAGTAAAATAAAAAAAGTTTAATAAGTAATATTCTTCTAATTTAGGGTAACAGCATTAGGCCCGATGTTTTCAAGAACTTTATTTCTTTTTGAAATAATTCAAATTTAAAATAAGTAATAGGCCCGTGAATAAAAAAAGCAACTGCTTTTACTCAGTAATTGGTCAGCTTAACATGAATAAAAACTTCATTGTTTATATAAAAATGTGAGTAAAAACTTCAGCAAATTTACTCAAATTTTTATTCACATAAAGCTGAACAATTACTCCAAAAACGCTGAGTAAAAGTAATTGCTTTGTTTTATTCACCTGGCCTAATATATTTTATTTTATTACATAATTCAATTTGAGTCATGTATCATATTTTTATACAAGCTTGAATCATGTATCATATTTTATTAATAATTCAAATTGAAAATAATTTTAAGTGATAGACAACAAAAAAGTACAAAAGATTTATTTACGAAAAATCATTTAGAGAAAATAAAAAGTTACAACAAATGCCTACTCAAATTTTAAAAAATGGAGGCAATAAGCTCAAGTATGCAAAACATATATTTTTATGTTATATTATATGCTACAGATCTAGTTCATAGCTTCAATATTTCTTCTTTTTCTTATGGTCTTTTTACTTAGAGCATTACCTTTTTCTTTTCTTAGTCACTTCAAATATTCATCGCCTGATTAAACATTAATCAGCCTTTTTAAAAGTTAAGGGGCATTAAGCCCCTGCTAATTAAAACAATTACTTTTATAAACTAATTAATCATCAACAAAACCATATTTCTCTTTAAAATTCCAAATTCATTCCATTCCAAATATTAAACAGAAATTCAGTACTTAAGTGAATTTTAAAGTTTAAAAAAACAGACTCTTAGACATCCATCTAACTGCCATTTTACTTTGCTAATAAATCTATTTTCATTTGCTCTACAATGATCAGTATTTTAACTTATTGATTACATACATATAGTTAAAAGTTAAAAAAAGTATTGTCTTAGTCTATATGTACTTGTCTTTGTATGGAAAATAAAAAATTTCTATTTAGAAATAATTTTTCAAATCAAAAAAACAAGCATTTGCTGAGCTGAAGTTTTTCAACAGAAACTGAAACTTTGATAGAAATATATATATATATATATATATATATATATATATATATATATATATATATATATATATATATGTGTGTGTGTGTATATATATATATATATATATATATATATATATATATATATATATATATATATACATATATATATATATATATATACATATATATATACATATATATATATATATATATATATATATATCCTTATAGTGTAGTCGAAAGAGTCTTTTAATGTAAAAAAAGTCTCTTTTGACTACAATTTTAATTACCTCGTCTCTTAAGCTGTATTTGATTGTTGTCGAAATGTCAAAGCAATTAAATTAATGCGGAAGTACATTAAATTTTGTTTTTTAAAAAAATTTTAAAAAACCGCAATAATAACGACTAGAAAGTTTTTTTTAATTAGTGGTGTTTTTGTTTTTGTTTTATTAAAAAACATTTTTAAAACATGAGTAAATGTTGCTACATCGACTATCTTATAGCCTGCTGCTACAAGGGAGTGTTTCTACATTGACTATCTTATAGCCTGACTTGCAACGGAGTGCTGCTACATCGACTGACAAATAGCCTGACTGGCAAGGGAGTGCTGCTACATCGACTGACAAATAGCCTGACTCGCAAGGGAGTGCTGCTACATCGACTGACAAATAGCCTGACTCGCAAGGAAGTGCTGCTACATCGACTGAGGGTTTGGTTTGGGCAAGCAGTCTATCATTTAAAAAAAAAAAATTTGAGTTTTTAAACTTTTTCTGGTCTGGTTTATTAAGGCGCTCTTTAAAACTACAGTTTATGGGAAACTCTTTTTGACTACCATGCAAGAGTATATATATATATATATATATATATATATATATATATATATATATATATATATATATATATATATATATATATATATATATATATATATATATATATATATATATATATATATAAATCTTTTTTGAAGTTTTTTAACATTTTCTGGTCAGGCTTATTAATGCGCTCTTATATATATATATATATATATATATATATATATATATATATGTATATATATATGTATATATATATATATATATATATATATATATATATATATATATATATATATATATATATATATATATATATATATATATAAGAGCGCATTAATAAGCCTGACCAGAAAATGTTAAAAAACTTCAAAAAAGATTTTTTTTTTAAATGATAGACTGCCTACCCAAACCAAACCCTCTGTCAATGTAGCAGCACTCCTTTTCGAGTCAGGCTATTTGTCAGTCGATGTAGCAGCACTCCCTTGCGAGTCAGGCTATTTGTCAGTCGATGTAGCAGCACTCCGTTGCGAGTCAGGCTATAAGATAGTCGATGTAGCAACACTCCCTTTAAGCAGCAGGCTATAAGATAGTCAATGTAGCAACACTTACGCATGTTTTAAAAATGTTTTTTAATAAAACAAAAACACCATTTATTAAAAAAAAATTTCTAGTCATTATTGCGGTTTTTTTAAAAAACAATAAAATTTAATGTACTTCCGCATTAATTTAATTGCTTTGACATTTCAATGACAATCAGTTACAGCTTAAGAGACGAGGTAATAATAATTGTAGTCGAAAGAGACTTTTTTTACCATAAGTCTCTTTCGACTACACTATAAGGATATATATATATATATATATATATATATATATATATATATATATATATATATAT